CGCCGCCGCCATGGGAACGTTGCCGACGCCGGCGTGAGCGCCGCCGAGGCTTGAGGCGAATGTCAGGGACAATGTCAAACCGACGGGCCTGATTGCCTGTGCAGCATTTTCTGGGCGTGAGGTTGAGTCGCAAAACGAGGGCATCATGCCACATCAATGCGGGTGATGCGCGAGACGGCGCAGAGGACGGACCAGGAAGCTCATGATTTTCGAGGGCTGAGAGATAAAGATCCATTGAGCGACCAGGGAATATTATTGCACAATCGTGAGGCACGTCAGCAGGGATATCATACTCTGGCGCCGCTCAAGGGCCCGAACAAGGATCTTCCCCCGTCGGTGTGATGCGAGACATGTGGCAAAACCAATGCACAGCAAGTTGACGGCCCGGTTGAGGAGACCTTATAATAACCCGCCTGAGTATCGAGGGCCACGCCCGAAAGGGCCACGCCGTACAGTTGCGTATTGGATAATTTTCGTGAACGATCATAGCACGCGAGCGGAGGTTCCAGGGAATCGTTGTCATGTCTTACCTCCATGCCGTGATGCGCAACGTGCTTCCGAACTCTAGTGTGCGAAATGTAAGATGAGCATTCGAAAACACAGATTTGAACCGTTTACTGCAGCCATGTGTGGTAAACGGTGATGGGGCCATTCTCGGAGGCAGAAAGTTGGACATACTCTATTATTGAGATGTGTTGGCTTATTGGATGCAATATGAAGTTGTGCATGCTCTACTATTGAGATATGCTGGCTATTGCTTGTTATAGTGACCTCCGGCCAGTGCCGCCGATCCGGGGCGCTGATATCATTGTTGTTTAAATGACAGCGGACGACCAGCGGGGTCGACGAGCGGGATAATTACGACGAGGACCGACGCAGGAGTTAATGTCGACGAACCGACGACGACGACGACAGGGACGACGGCGACGACTGCGACGACGACGACGACGACGACGACGACGACGACGACGACGACGACGACTGACGGCGAACGGCTGCCGACGGCCGACGACCGACGACTGGTGACGGCGACGTGTGGAAGGTTCTTCGTTCATCGCTTTCGCTCCCGAGCAATGCCGAGTCAGGCCGTGCACCTCTGGCCTAGCAGCACGCGAGTGAGCCCCTCTTGGGGCCTCTTGGTTCTTGGGGCTTCTTGGGGCCTTTGGGACCTCTTGGGGGCCTCTCGGGGTCCTCTCGGGGGACTATTGGAGGCCTCCTGGGGGCCTCCGGGGGCCCCCTGGGCGCGCCTCGGGGGCATCTTGGGGGCTCTTGGGGTCATCTCGGGGTGGGGGACTAGAAGGGTCCGTTCGGATTCGCCCTCCTGAGGCCATCCTGGGGGCTTCTCGGGGTCGTCTTGGGGGGCCTCCGGGGCTATATTGCGGCCCTCTTGGGCCGTCTTGGCTCCCCTTGGGGGCCTCTTGGGCTGTCTTGGGGCGATCTTGGGGGCCTCTTGGACCGTTTTCACCGCCTCTAAGACGGAAAAGGCGAGAATGTTTAAATGCTTCAAAACTTGTTGGCAATTGTATTCTGTACCCTCTTGGGGCCCTCTTGGGGGTCCGCTTGGGATCTCCTTGAGGCGTCTTGGAGGCCTCTTGGGCAGTCTTCAGGTTATCCTGGGCGTCCAGGAGCGCTCTTGGGCCGTTTCGGGCGCCTCCTGGGCCGTCTCGGTGGCCTCCCGGGCCCCGTCTTGGCGCGGTTTGGGATTCCCCGGGGGGGGGGGGGGGGGGGGGGGCATGGCCCCCCCCCCTCCGCGCCCCCGCCCCGCCAGAGCCCCCCCAGCCCCCCCCGGCAGAGCTGAAGCTCAGGTTGTAGCTCTTTCAAACTCACGCGCCGGATCGGCGGATTTTATTCGCCCCGGACGCGTGCCGAGGTGAACTACGTCAGGGCAGAGTGGGGGGCGAAGGACATGGGCGGCGTGGAGACGCGCGCCCTGGCGCTGCGGCCGCCGCGGCATGCAGCGAGGTGGCGCTGGCCTCGCGGCAGCTAGAGGGCGACTTCGTCGATGGGCTGCGAGGGCAGGTCCAGGGGCGAGGGCGAGGATGGGGGCTCGGACGGGCTGCGGGGCGACGTCGGCGATAGGCGGGCCGTCTCGGTCAGGCGCCGCAAAGGGGTCGCCCGCCTCGCGCGGCGAGGTCGGCGGAGCCGGGAAGGACCTCGAGGGCAAGCGGGGGGTGGCCAGCTTCGAGAGCGACGTTTTGTTCGGGGTTCTTCTGGCCGAAGCGGGCGGCGCCCAGGGCGCGGAACCCCGGGGGGGGAAAGGCCCGTGCGGAGGTCGAGAAGGTGGACCTGGCCGACGCGACCTCGAACGCGGCCAAGAGGGAGGGCCAGAGGGCGAACGATGGGAAATTTGCGGAGGGCGGAGGCGGTCGTGAGCAAGGACGTGTACCCCGACAGTGCGGCCGCTTTCGCGCGCTGCGAGGCGGCGCTGGCCTCGCGGCGATCTGCGCGCGACGTCGTCGATGGGGGTCGAGGGCGCGTCCACTGGCGCGGGCGGCAGCGTGCAGGACGGGGGGCGCGACGGCGACGACTCGGACGATTTGTCGGAGGCGTTCGGGCGAATCGGCGACGAGTGCTTGTGCGGGGCGTGCGCGGACCTAGCGCAGCTCCTGTAGGACCGGGTGGAGAGCTGCGGCGTGGGCGCCATGCAGGATTTGGCCGTGGCCTTGCTGGGGGGGGCCGTGGAGGACTTCCAGGGAGAGGAGAACGAGCTGTGGGAGCGGTGCCTCGTCCTGGCGTAGGTCATCGGCGCCGAGCCCGACGACGAGGCCGAGAACCTTCAGCATGCGGCCCGCGGCATCGTGGAGCTGGCTAGGGAGGTGTTCCTCGGAGGGGCGCGGCGGGTGCTGGGGGGCCAGGAACATGCCGCGGGCGAGCTCCTCGCCCCGCTGTCGTCGTCGTCGTGCTCGTGGCAGTCGTGGTCGTCGCGTTGTCGTCGTCGTCGTCGTCGTCGTCGTCGTCGTCGTCGTCGTCGTCGTCGTCGCGTCGGCGTTGTCGTCGTCGTTGTCGTCGCCGTACTCATCGTTGGCGTCGTCGTTGTCGTCGTCGTCGTCGTTGTCGTCGTCGTGTCGTCGGTGTCGTCGTCGTCATTCTCGCTGGTCTTTGTCTTTGTTTATCGTCGTCGTCGTCGTCGACGCCATCGTCGTCGTCGTCGTCGCCGTCTTTCGTCCCTCGTCCGTCGTCCGTTGCTTGTCGTTTGTCGTCGTCGTCGTCTTCGTCGTCTTCGTCGTCGTCTGTGTCGTCTGTGTCGTCTGCGTCGTTTGTGTCGTCGTCGTCGTCGTCGTCGTCGTGGTAACCGTTTTTGTCGTCGTCGTTGTCGTTCCCTTCTCGTCGTCGTCATTGTCGTCGTCGTCCGCCGTCCGTCGTCGTCGTCCTCGTCGTCTTCGTCGTCGTCGTCGTCGTTGTCGTTCTTTTCTCGTCGTCGTTCGTTTCGTTGTCGTCGTCG